TTCTGAACAGCTCCTGCCAACCTCCTGGTGCATGATCTTGTCATTGGCGCATCCGGTTCCTGCTCCACGACCTGATCTTCAACCCGCAGTTCAGCCTCTGGTTCCATGATCGCATCATCTGAAATCCTCCGGTTTGGCCAGTCCATTATAGCTCCAGAAGATGCTAGAAAAGACCATCCGAGAGTCACTAGATGTGTTGCGTCTCTTGTTTCGACAATGTAGAAGTCGACAGGCACAATGCAATCTCCTATTCTCAAGGGAATGTAATGAGCTATCCCTTGAGGTGTTGCATTGGAATCATCAGCTAGACTAATCTTTGCTCTAGTCCTGCACAGGTGCTTAATACCAAGTCTCAAAGCAATTACCTTGGACATCATATTAAGACAAGCTCCAGAATCACAAAGCACGTTTTTAAACATTTCTCCTCTAATAAAACAAGATAAGAGAAACTGACCTGCACCTTCGATTTTGTGAAGTGTTCAAACAGGTTTACCTCTTTTGGCATGATTGAGCAGGTCTTCTACTTCAGGGATTAATTCTTTGCTCTCACAGAAGTAGTGGCCTATCATGAAGTCCTTGCAAGCTCTGGCAAAGGTGATTCCTTCAGGCAAATTTCGAACCACTTCGTTGAACTTATTAAGCTTTTCTTTGCTGATTTTGTTGGTGTAGTGGCTACATTCTTCAAGTTTTTAAGGTGGATCGCATAGACAACTGCTTCTGGTGATGTCATGTATCGAGCTCGCATAAAGTATCTATGTATATCCTCTTTAGACTCCTTGCACTACCTGAAAGAGACTTGCAAACGACCAAACTTCTGTTGGGGTCGGTTTCCACCCCACATAGATAAACCATCCCAAAATAACTAAGTATAGGAAATAGGAGAGCCGTGATCATCAAAACGGGAGAGCCGTTCTCATCAAGGAAAGGAGGGAGAACCGCAATCACCAAGTGGGAGAGCCGAAAAAGAAGGAGATGGGCCGAGCCGTATAAAGTGGACCGAGCCCCTGTTTCGCATACCTAGGCCGAGCCGTACCGCGGTAAGGCAGAGCGAATCACGGGCCGAGCCGTAGAGAGTTTAGGTGGGCCGAGCCGTAAAAAAGCATGATGGGCCGAGCCGAAGCCTTGAGAGGTGAAGCCCACTGAAAACCCTAGGCGAGATGCAAAGGCGGTCAGTCACACGTGGCGATAAGGAAATATTCCGAAAATCTCGCCCGAGATTTTCGGCTAGGCGGTTTAGAAAATCAGTATAAATATGTGATGTATGTAATTCATTCCGCCAACTTTGGCAACCCTAAGCAATAAGAACCAAATATTTTCACAGCAAGAAAAGCTCTCTCTGGATCTTACTGTCTTTGGCGATAAACCCTAGAAGTTTCTGATCCCTTAGTTTCTTTACAAATCTTTGGTTGTGCGAGTTTTGGCTCACACAATTTGGCGCCGTCTGTGGGAAAACGAAACTTTCTTACTCTATATCGACAAAGCTTTAAGATTGGAAGAACATGGCGAGCAACGCTAACGACGACAACAACAACACCGGTAACGGCGCGGATAAGGACGCTCCAGGATCAGGCACAACGACCGCGCCGACAACGATGGCGACGACCGAAACCCATGAGGAGATGCGATACATGATAGCTGCGTTGATGAAAAAGATCGACGACCAAGACAAAAGAAACGAGGCGATTACGGCGAGGCTCGACGCGATGGCAGCAGAGCGACAGCATCCGACTTGGAGAGCCGGAGTCAACGACCCGATGGATGGAATTCGGAGACGCTTCGACTTCTCGACGCCCGCCGAAGCCTCAGGGAGTGGTGCAAGAAACTCCTCTTTTCTTCGTCCCCTCGACGAACGCACTCCTGCAGCAACCCGAGTCAACATGACCGAGCCACCTCCACTACGCCGCAACTCCAGGTAACGAGCCGGGGAGGAAGGAGACGACGCGATCGATGTAGACGCCCAGCGAAACGACGAGACCATAAATCCGCAACAAACTGGCTCAGCTCGTCGAATCAGTGAAGAAGAACTCGCCTCGGCACTGAACGGCATCCGGACTGACGAAGTCTCCGATCCAGCCCGAGGCGATAACCCAACCGAAGCGGACGAAAATCCCCAATGGAACGAGCAGGAAGAGCGCGAAGACGAGCCGAGGCGAGAGGAGCGAGAGCGACTCCCCCAATCAAAGGGAATGACTCACGCACAAACCCTCGAGCTTAAAGAGCTGCGAGCCTCTATGGCTCGAACGGTAGCTGAAATACGCGCTATGAAATCCCAAGTGCACAACGCGACAAGTGCCGCACCCGAAATCGACCGAATGCTCGAAGAAACCCAAAGAACCCCGTTCACCGCAAGGATCACGGAAGCCAGGATTCCCGAGCCGGAGAAGGTGAGAATTCCGTTCTACGAAGGAACAACTGACCCAAAAGCACACATCACAGCGTTTCGAATAGCGATGGGGCGAGCCTTCACAAAGAACGCCGCTAAACTCACCAAGCGCGAAGTGGATGCCGGATACTGTCTGCTCTTCGTGGAGCATCTCAAGGGAGCCGCACTCGAGTGGTTCTCAAGGCAGGAACGAAATTCAATCGGCAGTTTTCAACAGCTCTCCGCCTTGTTCCTTAAGCAATACTCGATGTTTATGGACAGAGGAACATCTGATGCCGACAAGTGGACACTATCTCAAGGACCGAACGAACCGCTTCGTGAGTACATGGCGCGATTCAAGGCAGTCGTATCCAAAATAGAAGGGATAAGCTACAAAGCTGCACTCGAGGCTCTGAAACGATCCTTGTGGTACAAATCCGAATTCCGCCGCGAGATGGCTCTCAATACGCCACAAACAATTCAAGACGCGTTGCACCGATCATCAGACTTCGTCGTAAACGAGGAGGAAATGAAAAACTTGGACGAGCAGTACGAAGCCACGAAAGCAGCGATCCGAAGCTCAATTTTGCCGCGCCCAACCAAGAGGGGCAATCCATCAGGCAACGCAACAACGCAGAGTTCAGAAGAACCTAGGAGCGGAGGTGCCCATAACTACCAGGTCAGCTCCGGACGCGGAAGAGGAGAGCCGCGCAACAATACTTGGGTGAGAAAGTCAGCCAACTACGACGAGAAGGCTTTCTGCGAGTATCACCAGACCTACGGACACTCAACGGCTCAATGCCGGACTCTAGGAGCAAAGCTCGCAGCAAAAATGGCAGCAGGAGAGCTCCAAAACGCGGTCACCCTTAAAGACCTCGTCCCCAACGAGCAACAGGAAAAAGCCGAGCCGAATGGTGCGGCGGAACCAGCGAATCCTCCCCGACGAGGCGATAACCCCAAGCGCGACAGGCGAGGCGAACCTGAAGAGCGACCCGAGCCGAGGCAAAGGATCAATATGATCATGGGTGGATCCCAGTACTATCAAGATACCGTTTCCTCAATCAAGGCCTATCAGCGCCGAGCCGAAGCAAAGGAGAATTGGACAAAGCCGACTGACATTCCAAACACGGTGATCTCTTTTGCCGAGGAGGAAACAGCAGGAATCGACCGACCTCACAACGATCCGTTAGTGGTCGAGCTAACGATCAGGGATCATGACGTAGCAAGGGTGCTCATCGATACTGGAAGCTCGGTGAATGTCATCTTCAGGGAAACGCTCAGAAGAATGGGAATCGACCTCTCCGAGGTGGAGGCAATCCCCAAACCTCTAACCGGATTTTCGGGAGAAACGACGATGACTATGGGAACGAACAGGCTTCCTGTGGTAGCCGGCGGAGTCACCAAGATCGTCGAGTTTTGCGTCACTGACCTCCCAGCCATCTATAATGTCATCATGGGAACCCCTTGGATCAACGGGATGAGGGCGGTACCTTCCACCTATCATCTTTGTCTCAAATTCCCAACTCCATCAGGTGTCAAAACGATATGGGGAAATCAGAAGGAATCAAGAAATTGCTTCCTAACCGAGCACAAACTAAGGAACCCCGTGACCGACGCACGAGCTGACATAGACCGCAAAAAGATGAAGATAGACAGAGAGCCCGCGAACGAGCTCTCCAAACTCTTATAGCAATTACAGATCGCGGAGAGCCGCGAAACACGCACCGAGCCGATATGTGACGCAGTGGACTCGGTGTGCATAGACGAGGCGCATCCGGAGCGGTGCGTCGAAATTGGAACACAACTAGGCGAACCCCTGAGAAGCAAGCTCCTTTCCCTCCTCAAGGAAAACGTCGACACCTTTGCCTGGACGGCGGAAGACATGCCAGGCATCAGCATCGATGTAACCTGTCACGAGCTGAATGTGGATCCGACCTTCAAACCAGTCAAGCAGAAAAGAAGAAAGCTTGGTCCAGAACGAGCTAAAGCAGTCAACGACGAGGTCGAGAGATTACTCAAGGTAGGATCAATCGCCGAGGCCAAATATCCGGACTGGCTCGCAAACCCGGTGGTTGTGAAGAAAAAGAACGGCAAGTGGCGAGTCTGTGTGGATTTCACCGACCTCAACAAGGCGTGCCCAAAAGACAGCTTTCCCCTGCCACATATCGACCGGCTCGTCGAGGCCACTGCGGGGAACAAACTGTTAACATTTATGGACGCGTTCTCCGGCTATAATCAGATCCTGATGCATCCTGATGATCGGGAAAAAACGGCATTCATAACCGATCGCGGGATATATTGCTACAAAGTCATGCCGTACGGGCTCAAGAACGCAGGAGCAACGTATCAACGGCTCGTCAACAAAATGTTTGCAGCTCAGCTCGGGAAAACTATGGAGGTATACATCGACGACATGTTAGTCAAATCACTCGAGGAGGAAGACCACGTCGCGCACCTACAAGAATGTTTCGAACAGCTGAACAAGCACAACATGAAGCTAAATCCGGCGAAGTGCAAGTTCGCGGTCACCTCGGGAGAATTCCTTGGCTATCTGGTAACCCACCGAGGCATAGAAGCAAACCCCAAGCAGATTAAGGCGTTAATTGAAATGCCCTCTCCGAGGACGAAGCGCGAAGTACAAAGGCTAACAGGAAGACTCGCTGCGCTAAATAGATTTATTTCCCGTTCCACGGACAAATGCCTGCCTTTCTACGACACCCTCAGAGGAAACAAGAAATTTGAATGGGACGAACGATGTGAGACGGCTTTCCAAGAACTGAAGACTTATCTGGCGAGCCCACCAATCTTAGCAAAACCGGTCGAAGGAGAGCCGCTCTTCCTCTACATCGCGGTGTCTGCTACAGCTGTAAGTGGGGTATTAATCAGAGAAGAACGATCCGAGCAAAAACCCATTTTCTACATCAGCCAAACACTGACCGATGCCGAGACTCGCTACCCACAAATCGAGAAGGTCGCCCTAGCCGTCGTAGTCTCGGCTCGCAAGCTGCGCCCATACTTTCAGTCGCATTCGATTGTTGTGCTCGCCACACTCCCGCTGCGCTCGATCCTGCACAGCCCAAGCCAATTCGGTCGGCTCGCCAAGTGGGCCATAGAGCTGAGCGAATACGACATCGAGTATCGGAATAGGTCGTCCGCAAAATCACAAGTGCTCGCCGATTTCCTCATTGAACTCCCGGCCGAAGCAACAAACGAGCCAACCCTAGACGAAGTATGGACATTGCACGTCGACGGCTCGTCATCTAAACATGGCTCGGGAACAGGAATCCGCCTCACCTCTCCCACCGGAGAAATACTTGAGCAGTCTTTTCGCCTGAACTTCCACGCCTCGAACAACGAAGCGGAATACGAAGCACTGGTCGCCGGCATACGGCTAGCACAAGGAATCGGAGTTCGAAAGATAAGAACCTTCTGCGACTCGTAGCTCGTAGCATGTCAGTTCAACGGAGAATACGAGGCGAAGGATGGACGTATGGGCGCTTACCTCAAAGTGGTCCGGGAGTTGGTGCAAAAGTTTGAAGAGTTCGAACTCACTCGAATTCCTCGAGGAGAAAACACCTCGGCCGACGCCCTAGCAGCACTCGCTTCGACCTTGGACCCGGACCTCCGACGAACGATCCCAGTCGAATTCGTCGAACGCCCTAGCATCGAAGAAGTGGAAGGAGTTCGGCTGATAAATCCCCCTGAACAAGAACCAGAAGACGACGAAGCCATTCCAATGGAAGAAGACGCCTCGTCAGCCGAGCCGGAATACGGCTGCGACAAAGAATGGCTCGGAGCCATCCGAATGTACATCGCCGACGGAGAAGCGCCAACCGACAAATGGGAAGCCCGCAAGCTAAAAGCTCAGGCAGCACGCTATGTCCTCGTCGATGGCGAGGTGTTTAAATGGAGATTTTCGGGGCCTCTCATGACATGCGTCGAAGGACCAGAAGCAAGAAAGATCATGCACGAGGTGCACAGCGGCGCGTGCGGTAACCACTCCAGCGGAAGGTCGCTCGCTCTCAAGATAAAACGGCACGGCTACTTCTGGCCTACGATGGTCAAAGACTGCGAGAAATTCATGGCGAAATGCGAGAAGTGTCAGCGGCACGCTCCAACAATTCACCAACCTACCGAGCTGCTCTCGTCAATCTCGTCGCCTTATCCGTTCATGAGATGGTCGATGGACATCGTCAGACCTCTACATCGCTCAAAGCAGAAGCGTTTTCTTCTCGTCCTCACGGATTACTTCTCCAAGTGGGTCGAGGCCGATTCTTACGCAAGTATAAAAGATGTTCAGGTCGAACACTTCGTCTGGAAAAATATAATCTGCCGACACGGGGTCCCTTACGAGATCGTCTCCGACAACGGATCCCAGTTTATCTCAACACGCTTCGAAGCTTTCTGCGAGAAGTGGAAAATCCGTCTCAGCAAATCTACGCCAAGATACCCTCAAGGGAATGGACAAGCCGAAGCAGCCAACAAGACGATCCTCGACGGTCTGAAAAAGAGGCTCGACGCAAAGAAAGGACGGTGGGCAGACGAACTCGAAGGAGTCCTTTGGTCTCATCGGACAACTCCGCGCCGAGCCACTGGGGAAACTCCCTTCGCTCTGGTCTACGGATCGGAGTGCGTAATTCCCCCCGAGGTGGATTTCCCAGGTATTCGACGAAGACTTCTACCAGGACAAGAAGGCTTAAACCACTTAATGATGTTGGATGAGCTCGACCTAATCAACGAAAAGCGCGATCAAGCCCTAGTTCGAATCCAGAACTACCAACAAGCAACGGCGCGATACTACAACAAAAACGTTTGTAGCCGAAGATTCAAAGAAGGAGAGCTCGTCCTCCGAAAGGTCTTCCAAAATACTGCCGAGAAGAACGCAGGAAATCTCGGAGCAAATTGGGAAGGTCCGTACAAGATCTCCAAAGTGGTGCGTCCGGGAGTCTACAAACTCGCAACACTAGCTGACGAGGCGATTCCTAGATCATGGAACGCAATGCATCTGAAGAAATACTATCACTAAGGATACAGCACGACCAACATGAACTACGGGACGGCTTGATCCCTGAAAAGGGTACGTAGGCAGCCCGTCTTCGGACGGGTTCAGTTGTCCCCCCTCCTAAAAAGGGGGGGGGAGTGGTTAAATTATTATCGCTTCGGCTAGCTTCACATTGTAACAAGCTCGGATTTTTAAGAGTTTATCGCTCATCACTTCGGCAAATAATCATACCACGTCGGCATAATGTCACGACCCGATTACCTCGGACCTTAATCGATCCTCAGTTTCACTTCGGCAAACTAAGCCTCCGAACGCCTCGTCTCGTTGCTGGCCACAACGGGGCAACAAGTACAAAGTTCTCTAAACGGACTTTTACCACCTTTCCTAGGACGAGGGTACAAGTTACATCTTCTACGGATAAAAATTAAGCGCGCTATACAAATATTAGACCAAAAACGTATCTGGTCGCCTCGGTTTACTATCGTACACGAGAATATAAGTCGAGACTACATCGCTTTCTCTAAAACCGAAGTAAACTCTTAAAACCCGGACAAACATACTCATCCTCTCGGAAACACCGGTCCATAGTCAGGTTTAATGACACCTCATTCTTTCCTAAACAAAAACAAAACGCCTCGTCGTCTACACGGCTCGGCATCACGCAAAGTATGAAACGCCTCGTCATTAAATACGGTTCAGCATTACCCGCAAAAATTCGCCTCGACATTATCACTTTAAAAATGTCCAGCATCATCTAAAAGATGTTCCACAAAACTAACTCCCAGCTCGGGATTAAGAATCCAAACGATGTCTTAAAACGAACTCAACCCTTAGCTCGTAATTCTATCATTTTCTAAGGATTCGGCTAAGGAAGCAGTCAAAATCATTACAGCAGTTCTTATCCTCGACATTTTTCCCTAAGCCAACGGTTGAAAATAAGTGCATCAAATCCTAAAACAAGCTAAGGGAAAGAGAATTTATTCACAAAACGAAAGTAAATGTCAGATGGATAAAGCCGTCCAGGCGTCGGTTACAAAACAGAGTTCAAAAACAAAAAAAAAAACCTAAGTACAAAAAGATTAAAATTGTAACAGGGGAGAGCAGAGAGAATCAGGCCGCGGACTGCGTCTCACGTTCGGCAAGGAGGTTCGAGAGGACTGGCGTGCCTGCGTTCGACCCGTTCGGGTCCACCACTCCTAATTTAGCCGCTGTCTCTTCGAGCGGCTCGTTCTCGAGGGTGGTGTCGAGTCCGGCGATACGGGGGAGTAGTACAGCTCGCCCCGAATCTCGGAAGCGATGCGCTCGTACGCCTCCTCGTCGGCGTACTCGTTTTCCCAGTTTTTCAACTTTGCTTCCTCGTCGTCGAGCGTCGGGGCATCTGGTTTCTTCAGGTCGGCAATCATCGCCAGATTGCCCCTGATCTGTCCCAGATCATTCTCGTCATTTTTGGCTTTTTCAAGCCGAACCAGACCCTCCTCCACCTTGGCGAGGCATTCTTGAAACTTCGCTGTGAGCTCTCGCCTCGTCTCCTTTTTCGCCCTCTTGACCTTGGCATCAAACAAGGCGTCCTTGGCCTCGATACGCCTCTTCAGCATCGCCACCTCGGCGCTTTTGGCTCTCCTCGCCTCCTCAAGGCGAATGACCGAGGCGGAGACTTTATCTACGTTTGCGCGCAGAACGATCTTCTCCTCTTCTAGCCTGGACGCTCTGGCCGTCGCCTCGTCCTCCCCTTTACCACCGCGGCTTCGGCCTGAGCCTCTTCTAGCTTCTTCTTTGACGCTGCGGATTCAATTTTGGCCTCGGCCAAACGACGTTCGACCTTAGATAAGTCCGCCTCGTACTCAGCCATCAGATCATTAATAGCCGCGACGAACTGCAAAGAATAAGCTCGCGATCAACACTTAGCAAAATTCGCAAGAGTAAAAGGAAACAAATGAAACGTACCTTAGTACCGCGTTGCGCCATCGCGCCGTATGATCTCGGCCTCCTCAGCTTCTCAGGAGGAGGAAGGCGCGAGTTTGCGTTATTAACGCAAGAGAACATAACGGCAGAAGCATCAGGGTCGTCGACGACCAACTTACGCGTAGCGGGATCTCCAGGCGCCGGTTTTCGCCTTTTCTTGGCCGGCTCGTCTTTCTGAACGGCGACTCCCTTTCCCTTGTCAGCAGCCAAACGTTTTCGGCTGGGGTCGTGCTTCTGAACGACTGAAGTCGGCGGCCTCGTCGACTTCGGGAGCGCCAAGATAGCGGAGTGCGAAGGCGTTTTGCTCCGCGCTTCCGAACCGTCCCCGGACGCCTCGGGAACTATCTCGCCCGGCTCCACCTCGGGCGCTGTCTCTTTCTCAGCCGCCTCGGCAACGTTGCCTTCTGCGGCTCGGATCGTCACAGCCTCTTCCCGGCTCTGGGGGTCGGGTTGAAGGATGGCCTCGGCTTGCGCCGGAACCGCCTCGGCACGCGCCGGAACCGCCTCGGCACGTGCCGGAACCGCCTCGGCCTGCGCCTGAGCCGCCTCGGCAGCTCGTCTAGCGGCTTCCTCCTGTTCGCGTCTCTTCCTTTCTCGGAGGGTTAAGATCACCATCTTTTCACGGGTATCTCTGGAGGAACTGGAGGATGAAGAGCTGACGGGAACTCCTGCAAGAATGGCTCGCGCCTTCTCTACTCTCTCGAGGGTGAAATTCTTTCTCCAGTTAACCTTCCGCGCTGAAGGAGAGTCTCGAACGGCAAACAGGTCGTCGGGAATCGGGGGAAGATAGCACCGAACTGCAAAACAAAGCAAAAAAAAGGTGTCAGAAAAGGAAGAAAGTTGAACCGAATCTCCGAGCCGAGGCAAAGCTTCGGGTCGGCTACCAAGTGGTCCCCAGGCGGTCTTGGTTCGGCAAACGTAATCCTCGCCGACCGACGCCTCATTCACTAAAACGTAGAAGAAGCGTTCGGTCCAGAGCTGGTCCTTGCTGGGAAAACCGCCGATAATCCGTCGTTTCGCCTTGTTAGAAATATAGAACCTGTTTCCTTTCGGAGCCTTCCTGATTTCCAGCAAGTTCAGCAGGTGATTCAACTCGATGTCAAGACCGCATTCGAAGCTTCGGACTAAAATGCCGATCATATGCTGCAGTCCCCTCGGCATAATCTGCCCGATCGAGATCCCGTGTTTCCAAAGGTATTCGAGGATCACTCCGGGGATTGGGAACCAGAGGAAGCAAAGCTCGAAGAACGCCTCGTACAGAGTGAAATGATTCTCTGGAGGGTTGTCGGCGCGGTCACTTTTCTCTGGGACAACGAACTCTACCGCCTCGGATATTCCGAAGCGATGCCTCAATGCTTCGAGCGACTCAAGGGAGCAGAGTGTAGACCCAGGCGGGTCGGGTTTTTGCCTCTTAACTCTCGGCGCTCGTCCAGATGTGGAAGCACCTCGGGACGCCATGAGGCGTTCCAACTCAAGCCTCGCCTCGAAAAGATCAAAGGGAAACGCCTCCTCCTCGGCCTTGAGCGCGGCTCGGTTAATATCCTCGTTAGGAGCGGGATCCTGGGGACGGCTCGTCAAAACCGACGGCTCGCCATCCAGAGAACCGACATCCGATGGGTTTTCATCATTTGACGCCTCGTCAGATGAATTGTTGGAAGGGCTCGGCGAAGCAGACGCCTCGGAAGAATCCATCGCACCCCTCGCCTCGGCGTCTATACGGCTCGGCTCGTAGTGGAAAAGTGGATCTAACGACTCGTCGGAACGGTTCGACATACTTTACAACTTTTACAATGAATTACAACCTGACTCGGCGAGCCTCTACCGGAAAAAGATCTGGAACGGCGGAGACCTCGGAAACCCTAGCCGGAAAATAAATAAACTAGAGAGAGAAAGAAGAGAGAAGGGAGAGCTACCTTTAGTGAAAACGAGTGAGTCGGGAAATAATGAGGAGAAGTGAAGGAGCTCACCAATTTATAGAAAAACGAAGCGCGTGAATCCCGCGTGAACCTCGGGAAGCCATCCAACAGCGCGTGGGATCCGCGGCGAATTGGTCATACCGGTTTGCGTCGTTGGCACGCGCCGAAAGATCCGGAACTTCCTCTCGGAAGACCAACAGTCAGGGTACCCAGGATAACGAAACGACTTGGTAAAGACTCTCTCTCACTTGCATCGCCTCATCGTCTAACGAAAAGGCTCGGCATTAACTATCTCTCTCAAAACGCCTCGTCGTTAAAACGGCTCGGCATTGTCTATCTCTCTCGAAACGCCTCGTCGTTAAACAAAATGGCTCGGCATTAGATCTCGCTTGCATCGCCTCGTCGTTAAACAAAACGGCTCGGCATTAGATCTCACTTGCATCGCCTCGTCGTTAAAAAAAACGGCTCGGTATTAACTATCTCTCTCAAAACGCCTCGTCGTTAAACAAAACGGCTCGGCATTATCTATCTCTCTCGAAACGCCTCACGGATCGGCACTGACCCTTGTTCTTGAAACGCCTCGTCGTTAACAACACGGCTCGGCATGAACTTTCACTCAAAACGCCTAGCCCTATATTCGGCTCGGCATAACTGTCACCAAATCGCTTCGTCCCTGATTCGCCTCGGCATCTTCGGCACTCCTTGGAAACACCTCGGTACTTACACTCCCAAAACATGAAACTGGGCTCGTGTCGTAGCAGCTCGGCTCGATGGTTTATCTCATGGTCAGGAGTCATGTACCTCATCATTCTCGACTCCGAGATTGACGAGCTGGGGGGCTAACTGTTGGGGTCGGTTTCCACCCCACATAGATAAACCATCCCAAAATAACTAAGTATAGGAAATAGGAGAGCCGTGATCATCAAAACGGGAGAGCCGTTCTCATCAAGGAAAGGAGGGAGAACCGCAATCACCAAGTGGGAGAGCCGAAAAAGAAGGAGATGGGCCGAGCCGTATAAAGTGGACCGAGCCCCTGTTTCGCATACCTAGGCCGAGCCGTACCGCGGTAAGGCAGAGCGAATCACGGGCCGAGCCGTAGAGAGTTTAGGTGGGCCGAGCCGTAAAAAAGCATGATGGGCCGAGCCGAAGCCTTGAGAGGTGAAGCCCACTGAAAACCCTAGGCGAGATGCAAAGGCGGTCAGTCACACGAGGCGATAAGGAAATATTCCGAAAATCTCGCCCGAGATTTTCGGCTAGGCGAATTAGAAAATCAGTATAAATATGTGATGTATGTAATTCATTCCGCCAACTTTGGCAACCCTAAGCAATAAGAACCAAATATTTTCACAGCAAGAAAAGCTCTCTCTGGATCTTACTGTCTTTGGCGATAAACCCTAGAAGTTTCCGATCCCTTAGTTTCTTTACAAATCTTTGGTTGTGCGAGTTTTGGCTCACACAACTTCCAGATTTCATCAAAGCTTAGGACCTAGGTGAGCAGGGAATGACATGACCATATTGTTAAACTCTATGAGCTTCTCCCTACTGATGTTTTTGGTGATCCATTGAATTTCTCACGAACTGTCTTCTGAGGAATATCCTGTGTTTGGATCTTCTACAAACAACCCATACTCTTCATCTTCAGAGTATTTTTCTCCATACTCATCTTCACAAGACAAGACCATGTTGCAGGGCAATGGCTTGACAAATCAGATCTTTGGGTGATGATGGACCAAACTAGTTGTTGATGGAGGGGTTTAGTCATTCCAGGAGGTGTATCAGACGCACAACTGCTTGCATGAGCTGAACGGGGCTGTTTTGGAACGTTTTTTTGGTTGGCCTTGACTGCAGGAGACGCGACCGTATGAAAACGTCCATGGGCCGCGGGTAGGCCGAGCACGACCGCGGGAGAGTGTCTCCGAGTTGATTGCTTGCTGTTGCTTGCTCTTTTGCTTCCTGGATGATCTCCTGGGTCTTCTAGCTTGGTGTACTTCCTCTCTGGACTTGAGTATTTAGTTTTGGCTGCTGGAATCTGCTCTCCAAGTTCTTGTATGATCTCCTCAACCTTTTCTTCAACTTCATCAAGAGCATAGACTGCTTTGTCCATGGTTGAGTCAAGCTCTTCGGTTTTGTCAATGACTTTGTAAACCTTCTCTGAAACTTCGACTGTGAAGTCATAAGACTCGTTCTTAGCTTCATTGAGGGCTTTGTCCACATCATCAAGTTTGAAATCCAGGTCCATCACTTTGTTTTTAGTGTTGCGAAGCTCGTAGGTGTGCCTCGCTTGCTCTTCTTCCATATTGTTGAACCTATTAGCGATCATGGCTGTGTCCTTGGTTGCTCGTTCTTCTATTGATTTGACCTGGGAAGCTAGGTTATCGATCTTCTCATTGAAAAGTTTTGATATCCCGTCAATTCTTTTGTTTAGAGCGGCTGTAGTGGTTGCTTGAGCTTCTATGAACTGCTTGATTACACCTTCGAACTGTCTCAATCGGTTACTGAGCTGGACGTTCTCATCTTGCAGGAGAACCTGGTGAGGTAGGCGATACATAGGTGGTCTAGGATTTACCATTGGCGGCATGTAAGGCTCGTTCAAGAACGTTCTGTAGTCTTCTGTTCAAACTTATTCGTAGAGATCACTTAGGTACTGCTTTTCTCTGCGTCTGGTGGCTTGAGGAGTGTTGTAAAAACCTCCCTCATAGTAGATATTTCGATTTATAGGATCCATTGCTTCGGGAATGGAAACAAAATAACCGAAAAATGAAAATATGCAGAAAAAAGGGTTCTAGAGTCGATTTACCAACATTTCTTAGGGTTTTGCGGAAAAGAAAATGCGTGCCTTCCCCGGCAACGGCGTCAAAAACTTGATGTGTCGTGTGTCGAGGGTTGTCAAGTTTTACCCTAAATGAAATCAATAGCCGCAAGTGCACAGCTGATCGATTGTAGTACTTAGGGATCGAATCCACGGGGAAGGAGGATCTTTCCTGCAAAAGCCTTCGAAAGAAATATAAAGTAAGGAAGTCTAGAGCCAGACGATTTTTGTGAGGGTTTTGGTGGTGTCTTTAAAACGTAAAAACTAATCTTAAAGAGAGGATACGAGAATTAAAATGACCTAATAACTAAACTTAACGAAAAACGACTAAAACGAGAAAAACGGCTAAACTTAATTGCTTAAGTGAATGATTAAGAGAATGAAAATACTAGATTAAAACTTGAATGAAAATCAGTGTAAATCTATAGAAAAGAAGGCGCTGGGGTTCAGGGAAGTTTTCTCAGGGGTATGAACGATTCAAAACATAGCTAGAGAGTAAATTTGATAAGATCTTAGCTTAAACTTTTCGAACTGGAGTCACGGACGTATGAATACGCCGCTGTCGTGATCATAGACAACTATCTCTCTCAACCCTGACCAGTAGGTTTCCACTCTGGCCTTGGAAGAGAAGAGATGCATTATGTTTAAGACTCGTCAGCATTCACAAATTGCCCATAGGTAGGTTTCCACTCTTATGTTTGTTTTGCTCTCCCAAACTAGATCTGACACCGGATGAACACTTTCGTGTCACCAAGCATCTGAATCAGATTGTAGTTCATGACACTATTCTCATGCAGTAAAAACGAATTCAGTAGAAAAAATTCTAAGATTCGGCTCAATAGCTCATGGAATCCTCATCGAACATAAGTATCCCCAATCGAAAAATCCCTTAGACCCAACAAAAAAACTACTCAGACATGATAAACGAAATAAAAAACATAGTATTAAAAAGTAGAATAGAAACCGAAATTAAAAAAAGAAAGAACAAGGGTTCAAGAGATAGATCTCTCTCTCCCTAAAATCTAAAAATAAAGCTTAAAGTAAAATTTCTGTAAAGTATTTCGTCTCTCTTCTTCTCTTCTAACAAACGATCTAAATGATATGTATTTTTAGTCTCCAATGCTCTCAGGTCTTTAGGGTTCCAGAATTGAGGCTGGGAAAATGATATGAGCTTCAGAATTGGGCTTCCGAACTCGGAGTTGCCTGGCCGCGGTCGGGATGTGCGTGACCGCGGGGAATGGATGGCTGGCTGCGGTCGGGAAGGTTGTGACCTCGGGAAATGGGCAGTTGGCCGCGGATGGAAATGCTTGTCGGCTTGTTTACGAGACATCTTGCTCTTCTTGTATCTTTTGATTGAACCGTTGGATTCCCAAGCTGTAAAGTGTGCTGGAAAGCTGATACTTTCGTCTTTGAGATCTCCAAATTTGAGCTGGATGAGACGGTGAGAAGGCCTTCAATCGGGGGTGAACTTCTGACGGTTTGACTCTGAGCTGAAAATCTGGTCTTCTATCCATTTTGTTAGGCTTTTCCCTAAGTTTCTTGAAAAGAATCTTGGAACTACGAATACTAGAAAAACGTAATAAAAGGACTTGAAAGCAATTAAAAACATAGAAAAAGTCTTTCAAAACGATCCAAAAAAGTGGTCAAAATACGGTGTTATCAGAAGCTCAAACTCGCCATTTTCAATTGATTTTGGAATTTAGGATTTTCTTAAAAAGCCCAAATCTTGGTTTATTAGTGGTGGAAATAGCTTAAGAACACTTAGCTTAAGAGGAATTGAGAGTTTTAAAATTTGGATTCTACATACTTTGCAAAAATCGAATTTGGAACAGCAAAATTGATGAATTTGATCAAGTCTTGTGTGATTAGTGATTAGTATTAGGTAACCTATAAATTTGACATGAAATTTGCTCAATTAAAGCAATTTTTAGAAGATTTCTATGTTGAGAACATCAAAAATCCGAACCTGGTCATGAACTACTCGATTTCTTCGATTTAATATCAATTATGCTTGCTTGTGGTTTTTAACTAATCTCTTGATACTAGGA